AGGTTGGGAATGAATTGTTGCATTTTGGGATCAAGCAGAAGCGTAGTCAAGGAACAAGCCAAAGGTTGGGAATGAATGGTTGCATTTTGGGATCAAGCAGAAGCGTAGTCAAGGAACAAGCCAAAGGTTGGGAATGAATGGTTGCATTTTGGGATCAAGCAAAAGCGTAGTCAAGTAACAAGCCAATCGTTGGTAATGAATAGTTGCATGTTGGGATTCAAGCAGAAGTGTAGTCAAGGAACAAGCCAAAGGTTGGTAATGAATAGTTGCATGTTGGGATTCAAGCAGAAACGTAGTCAAGGAACAAACCAAAGGTTGGTAATGAATGGTTGCATGCTGGAATCAAGCAGAAGCATGAAGTGTAGTAAAGATAAAGACAGCTGCAGGGACAGCTCTGCAGAGCAAGATATCACCCCAAACCCCCTCCTGTTACACGTTTTTACAAGCAAAAGTTAAAAGGACATCCCCTAGACTGTTTAATGTGCTGGATTGAATGGACTGTTCCTGTGTGCCTGGCTTCTTCAGGGAAAGAGTCTGTGCATCTTAGCAGCTCCTACTGGGGTAGCTCTACACTTACTACTTGAAAACAAGCCAGTGGGAAGATGTCATTTAGTGGTGGTAGTGATATCACCTTAAATGATTGACTTCTCGTTGCATTAGCCAGTTCAGCAGGATGTGCCAGTGAGCCAAATTTCTTCAGCTTGTTGGTTTTTGACAGAACTGTAAATAAACTCTGGGTTTGGCCCAAAATCAAGTTCAAACCCCAACCTACAGCTTTCCCATACATGCCAATATTGTGTAGCATGTTTTTTGTTTATACCATGGGTCTCCAAATTTTTTAAACAAAGGCCATTGGGAGTAGAAAAGGTCCCAACGTCAGTGGGGAAAAAACATGCTCCATGTTTGATGTTAGTGGGAGGAATTGTACCCCATCATTGGTGTCGTTGGGTAAAATTGTGCCCCATTGTTGGTGTTATTAGGAGGAATTGTGTCCCATCGTTGGTGTCATTTGGAGGAACTGTACCCCATCATTTGTGTCATTAGGAGGAATTATGCACCATCGTTTGGGTCCTTGGAAGGAATTGTGTCCCATCGTTGGTGTCATTTGGAGGAATTGTACCCCATCATTTGTGTCATTAGGAGGAATTGTGCACCATCGTTCAGGTCCTTGGAAGGAATGGTGCCCCATTGCTGGTGTCCATGGGAGGAATTGTGCCCCATCGTTGGTGTCCTTCAGAGGAACTGTGCCCCATCATTGGTGTCGTTGGGTAAAATTGTGCCCCATTGTTGGTGTTATTAGGAGGAATTGTGTCCCATCGTTGGTGTCATTTGGAGGAACTGTACCCCATCATTTGTGTCATTAGGAGGAATTATGCACCATCGTTTGGGTCCTTGGAAGGAATTGTGTCCCATCGTTGGTGTCATTTGGAGGAATTGTACCCCATCATTTGTGTCATTAGGAGGAATTGTGCACCATCGTTCAGGTCCTTGGAAGGAATGGTGCCCCATTGCTGGTGTCCATGGGAGGAATTGTGCCCCATCGTTGGTGTCCTTCAGAGGAACTGTGCCCCATCATTTGTGTCATTAGGAGGATTTGTGCACCATTGCTGGGGTCCTTGGAAGAAATTGTGTCTCATCGTTGGTGTCCATGGGAGGAATTGTGCCCCATCGTTGAGGTCCTTGGAGGGAATTGTGCCCCATCGTTGGTGTCCTTGGAAGGAATGGTGCCCCATCGCTGGTGTCCATGGGAGGAATTGTGCCCCATCGTTGGTGTCCATCAGAGGAACTGTGCCCCATCATTTGTGTCATTAGGAGGATTTGTGCACCATCGCTGGGGTCCTTGGAAGGAATTGTGTCTCATCGTCGGTGTCCATGGGAGGAATTGTGCCCCATCGTTGAGGTCCTTGGAGGGAATTGTGCCCCATCGTTGGTGTCCATGGGAGGAATTGTGCCCCATCGCTGGTGTTCTTTGGAGGAATTGTGCCCCATCATTGGTGTCCTTCGGAGAAATTGTGCCCCATCATTTGTGTCATTAGGAGGAATTGTGCATCATCTTTGGGGTTCTTGGAAGGAATTGTGCCCCATCGTCGGTGTCCATGGGAGGAATTGTGCCCCATCGTCGGTGTCCATGGGAGGAATTGTACCCCATCGTTGGTGTCCATGGGAGGAATTGTGCCCCATCGTTGGTGTCCATGGGAGGAATTGTGCCCCCATCATTGGTGTCCTTGGAAGGAATTGTGCCCCATCGTTGGTGTAATTGGAAGGAACGGTTTCCCATTGTTGATGTCATTAGGAGGAATTGTGTCCCATTGCTGGTGTCATTGGGAGGAATTGTGCCCCTTCATTGGTGTAAGTGGGGCGAATTATGCCCAATCGTTGTTATCAGTGGATGAAATAGTGCCCCAAGGGCCGGATTAAAAGGGCAGCGTCTGGCCCCCAGGCCGCAGTTTGAAGCCCACAGGTCTACACAATGTACAGTCACTTTTATACATTGACCACTTTCGAAAAGTATAGCGTTACTGTAGATAAAAAGGGCAAATTTAATTTTTTATTTGTCCGATATTTATTAAAATTTTATTTCTGTTACAAAGAAAGGTAAATAATTAAACAAAAATGAATGTAATTAAACGATTAAAATAACTTTGTTAATGCAATACTACAGAATAACAAAAATTGACAAAAAGCTAAAAAAAAATGACATTTAAAAAAAAAGTAAAAAAAAAATGTTGGGGCTATAAAAAAAAGGGGTTAAATAAATTCAAAATGTTTTTTTTTAAAAAAAAAATAATAATAATAATTTTATTCTTCTTTTGTGAGATGACTTTAACTGGCTTAATGCTCAGTTTGAAGCCCTTTTACAAGCGTGCATACATTGGAACGATGATATCATCACATCGTACTCGTCAATGATGCCTTCAAAGAGTGTTTGCAGGCATCCTTTACAAAGGAGATGTTTACGCCATATTACAAGCTGATTATGGTCCTGGGACCAAGGACACCCAGGTATCGGGAGTAGTGGCTCCTCAGAGAGATTCATGTTGACTGATCCACATACCACACCTAATAAACAAGGCCAAACGTATGTCACCGGGACACCGAGGATCTCCAGAATGGGCCCAAACCTTTATTCAGCAATCATATCATGGTTGCAATAGAGGCGTTTCGGAGCCTTTCAGGACCTCTCAGAAATATCGCTCTTGTATCCAAGATGTGATGGCTGAATAAAGCTTTGGGCCCATTTTGGAGATCCTTGGTGTCCCAGTGATATACTTTTGGCCTTGAATGTCTTCGGCTTCCAGTCGCTTGGTCGCCGCAGCACCCATCTACATTTACAGACAACTTCAGGAATGTGTTCGTTGGGAATATTGTGCTTGAATCTAATAAACAGTCACAGCTTCAATTGGGGAGGACATCGAAAAGTGCTGCATACTAGGACTCCTCCATACCTTCGTTCAGCAGTGGTGACCTTTCTACAGAGCTGACCTTTCTATGGTCACAAAAGCTTGTCTCACTCAAGGGTCTACCTGAAATGCTTAATAATCATGGCAATGCGTTTCTGGGGCAAGGTCTCCACCTTCCTTATGATGGGGCTTCCTAAAAGCTGTACCATGACTCCTCCATACCTTCATTCAGCAGTGGTGACCTTTCTACTGAGCTGACCTTTCTATGGTCTCAAAAGTTTGTCTAACTCAAAGGTCTACTTAAAATGTTTCTCAATCAAAAATAACAGATAATGGCAACGCGTTTCTGGGAAAAGGCCTCCACCTTCCTTATGATGGGGCTTCCTAAAAGCTGTACTGTGACTCCTCCATACCTTAATTCAGCAGTGATGACCTTTCTATGGTCTCAAAAGTTTGTCTCACTCAAGGGCCTACCTGAAATGTTTATTAATCAAAAATAAGAGATCATGGCAACACGTTTCGGGGGAAGGTCATCACCTTCCTTATGATGGGGCTTCTTAAACGAAGCTGTACTATGACTCCATCATACCTTCGTTCAGCAGTGGTGACTTTTCTACAGAGCTGACCTTTCTATGGTCACAAAAGTTTTTCTCACGTAAGGGTCTACCTGAAATGTTTACTAATCAAAAATAAGAGATAATGGCAACGTGTTTCGGGGGAAAGGCCTCCACCTTCCTTATGATGGGGCTAATTAAAAGCTGAACTATGACTCCACCATACGTTCATTCAGCAGTGATGACCTTTCTATGGTCTCAAAAGTTTGTCTCGCTCAAGGGTCTACCTAAAATGTATATTAATATGAAATAACAGATAAAGGCAATGCGTTTCAGGGGAAAGGTCTTCACCTTCCTTATGATGGGGCTTCTTAAAAGCTGTACCATGACTCCTCCATACCTTCATTCAGCAGTGATGACCTTTCTATGGTCTCAAAAGTTTGTCTCACTCAAGGGTATACCTAAAATGTATATTAATATAAAATAACAGATAAAGGCAACGCGTTTCGGGGAAAAGGTCTTCACCTTCCTTATGATGGGGCTTCTTAAAAGCTGTACTATGACTCCTCCATACCTTCATTCAGCAGTGACCTTTCTACAGGGCTGACCTGTCTATGGTCACAAAAGTTTGTCTCACTCAAGGGTCTACCTGAAATATCTATTAATCAAAAATAAGAGATAATGGCAACGCGTTTCGGGGGAAAGGCCTCCACCTTCCTTATGATGGGGCTTCCTAAAAGCTGTCAGATCTTTCCACAATTGCAGACTGATGGCATGGTAAGAACCAACAAGCCCTATCATCAGTCTCTTCGCTCTTCTAACTTCTTCTTACATCATCCCTGAGGAAGAGAGGCATTTCTCCCATAACGCGTTGGCTTTATGGAATTTTTGATCAATAGATCTTTGAGTTATACAGACAGGGCTCTCCTTCCCTGTGTGAGGTCTCTGATGCATGACAAATGGTTTTTGTTGACAACAGTTCCTGCACGCTATGACTTCTCACCCGTATGCACAAAGAGAATGGATTTATTAAAAAAAACTTCACTTGGGGAAGGAATGTGGCTTCTGCCCTGTGTGGGATCTTTCATGTTTTACAAGCTGTTGTTTGTGTTTATAACATTTCCCGCACTCTGAGCAGGAATACGGCTTCTCCTCGGTGTGAGACCTCAAATGCACAGTGAGTTGGGAATTACGTGTAAAACATTTCCCGCACTCCGGACAGGAATATGGCTTCTCCCCCGTGTGCAATCTCTGGTGCAAAGAGAGATAAGATTTTTTCAGAAAGCTTTTCCCGCACTCAGAGCAGGAATGCGGCTTTTCCCCCGCATGGGACCTCTGATGATCGGAGAAATGACACTTACGTGCAAAACTTTTCCCGCACTCGGAGCAGAAATACGGCTTCTCCTCTGTATGAGACCTCTGATGATTAGCCAGATGAGACGTACATGTAAAACCTTTTCCGCACTCAGAACAGGAATATAGCAGATCCCCTGTGTGAGACATCTGATGTTTGTCAAGATCTGATTTTAACGCAAAACGTTTCCCGCACTCCAAACAGGAGTATGGCTTTTCCAACGTATGAGACCTCTGATGCACAGAGAGATTAGATTTATGTAAAAAACGTTTCCCGCACTTAGGACAGGAATATTGCTTCCCCCCTGTGTGCCACATCTGATGTTCATCAAGTTCAGACTTCTGTGAAAAACATTTGCTGCACACAGAACAGGAAAAAGGCTTCGCACCCGGATGAGATTTTTGATGCGTGAGCAGGTCTGACTTGTAAAGAAAACATTTACCACACTCAGGACAGGAATGAAGCTTCTCCCCCGTGTGCAATCTCTGATGTACATTCAAATGATATTGCCATAGAAAAGATTCCCCACACTCAGTGCAGGAAAATTTCTTCTTCCCCTGAATCCCGGCCCCATCCCCCACAGTACGAGGTTGCTCGGAGTCCGAGGGATTCCATGGTCTTTCCACACTGGGAAGTCCACCATCCATAGTGGAGCTCATTGTCTTTTCTCCGGCACAATCTCCTGGGATGTCCTCATCTTCCATTTTACAACCTGGAGATAAAGTGAGACGATCCTTTGAGGGTTTCTCCATGGCAGGTCCTGGAAAAATAGAAAAACATCATCAATAGATAGGAGAGGGTTAGTTCACTTCCATCAAGATTCCATCTGTATCAGGGAGATAGGAGGGAGCAGATGTCCTCTGTGGATGTCCCAACCAGCTGGGACTCCTCCCCTCTTCAAAGAGCCTTTGGTCCTCCCAGATCATTTCTACATTTATACCGCCTTGTCAGAGGAGCAGGAAACAATGGGGGCTGGGGGGCGGTAACAGAGCAGAGATAAGAGAAGAATATATTCTGGTCACCTGTGCTGATCTCTGTAGGAGTGTCCTCCTCTATGAATGTCCTCCTCATTCCAGCCTCCTCTGTTATTGCTGATCATCCCTCACATACGTCTCTTCTACTTCACCCTCAACTTTCATGTTCATCAGATCTTCACCCTAAACCAACAGAATGGCAGAAAATAACATCTGTAACATAAAAGGATCTATGATGTGAGATCACATAGAACATCTCATCTTGTAGAGTCCACACATCGTCTCCACATATCAGAGGGTTCCATCACTTTATGTTCCCCACCCTCAACTCCATCTACCTGATGATGGTGAGGGATGGTGTGACCTTCCTGTGTGGAATCCCGGGAATACAGAGGACGGGGACATCTCTTTGGTGGGTTTCTGTAGCTGGATGACTCCACCATGGTGTCCTGGTACAGATCTTTAAGAAACTCTGACTTCTCCATCCCCCCATCCTCATCCTCCTCCTCTTTTATCTCTTCTTTAACCTCAACTTTAGAATCTCTCAGATTTCCACTCTGAATATATAATAAATAATAATAAATAAACAATGAATGGTACAAATGCAGATATAATGTACAGATCCTAATGATACTATAAGTGGTTGTTCCTCATCTACCTGATGATAGTGAGGGATGGTGTGACCTTCCTGTGTGGAATCCCGGGAATACAGAGGACGGGGACATCTCTCTGGTGGGTTCCCATGACTGGATCCATCTGTAGGAAACACACACACTGACTGAATCCATTGTTTCTATGTGTTTATCAGATGATGGGGGATCTAGGTGACCCTCTGTACTGCTCTCTCCTTTCCAATAAAGTCTCCTCTTACCCGGTGATGTGAGGGGCGGCTGATTGTCCATCATGACGTCCTTGTAGAGGTCCTTGTGTCCTTCTAAATACTCCCACTCCTCCATGGAGAAATAGACAGTGACACCCTGACACCTTATAGGAACCTGACACACACAATGATACAGTCACCATCCAGACACATCCCTTGGCTGTTACTGGAGAATGTCCCAGAATTCCCAGCACCGCTCACCTCTCCTGTCAGCAGCTCCATCATCTTCTTGGTGACTTCTAGAATCTTCTCCATGTTGTGTCTCTCAGGGTTTAGGGAGCCACATGGAGGCACTGTGATGGTCATATGATTACCTGACTTCAGAAGAGGAAATCTCTGTATTGGGGAACCAATAGGAATATCATGTTAGACTCCCAGAAGCCTCCTCGCCTCTCCGGTCAGGTCTGTGTTTTATTATTAGATATGAGAGTGACGTCATGTGACCTCCCAGAATCCTCCTCACCTCTCCGGTCAGGTCTGTGTTTTATTAAGAGATTAGAGTGATGTCATGTGACCTCCCAGAATCCCCCTCACCTCTCCGGTCAGGTCTGCGTTTTATTAATAGAGATGAGAGTGATGTCATGTGACCTCCCAGAATCCCCCTCACCTCTCCGGTCAGGTCTGCGTTTTATTAATAGAGATGAGAGTGATGTCATGTGACCTCCCAGAATCCTTCTCACCTCTCCGGTCAGGTCTGCATTTTATTAATAGAGATGAGAGTGATGTCATGTGACCTCCCAGAATCCTTCTCACCTCTCCGGTCAGGTCTGCATTTTATTAATAGAGATGAGAGAGTGATGTCATGTGACCTCCCAGAATCCTCCTCACCTCTCCAGTCAGCAGGTAGATGATCTCCAGGGTGAGATTTAGTATCTTTGTGGTCATGTGACTCCAGTCCTCCTCCATCCTCATTGATGTGGCCATGGGATCTATGCGGGTTTCTCTGTAGACAGAAGATAAATATTTGGACTGTCTTGGTTGTGGTGGAGTATGCCAATGATGGAGGGGGCGATCGATTGTTCTAACTTGGAAGGTAAAGTTAGGCTTTGGCCTTAAAGTGTATGTAAACCCCAACTATGAACTTCTCTCACCTTCCCTTCCATGTTAACGAGGACAGGTCAAGAAGGAGAATCTCCATTATAGCAATACAATCCTGAAAAATATTCTAATCCTCCAAAAAGTAGAAAAAAATTGGGTTGTAGATACACTACAACACGCCCTCAAATAAAGAGTTGTGGAAATAATGAGTATACAGAAATACATTTTAAAGAAATAAACTGATGAGTCCAAAATGAAGAACAAATAGTACCTTGACCATCAAGCGTTAAACATTTATATCGTATATATATACTGTCTAGCCTGAGAAAGGTGAGCTTGTGCGTAATCGAAAGGTCGAAACAAACAGAACCACCAAATGTTCGCCTTTCCACCCCGGTAAGTTCTTCTTTATCTTTTGGATTTTATATATAAATGTAGAATATTATATTACCTCCTCTGCTGCCACTTCCACCAGTGTCTCCTCTCTACTTCCTCCCGACTCACCTCTCGCCCACAACTTCCTATCTGCTCCTTACATCACTTTCTATTCATACCTGACATCACTTCCTATTTATACCTGACATCACTTCCTGTCTTCCGTAGAGACTTCCTGTCCCTGTAAAAGTTAGACCACCGCTTTCTGGAGCTCAAAAACATCTTGTGGTGTGAACCCGGCCTTGTGCTGTGTGTGTGTATAATAGATGGGGTCATCTCGACTCGCGCCAAGGTGGGTAGGGATAGATGACCGCCTAGTCCAGCCTGTCTCAGCCCGGGTTCCTCCAAAGGTTTCTAGAGGGTTCCTCGAGCAATGAACAATTTCTGTCTCTCAGTAACAAATGCCATCAATGATCTGTAGGGGGCAGTCTTCCAGTTGATGACCACTGATATAAGAGGGTCCTTCTCCCACTGATTACTAATATAAAGAGGTGCTTCTCTCACTGACCATTAATATAAGGAGGTCCTTACTGGTTGGTCATCGTCAACGATCTGCAGCTTTGCTCCTGTCTCCTCTATTTCCAAGGACCAGCAGGCATGCTGGTATATGTAGTTCCATGGCTATAACTTTTAAGACTCTACTCTTATCCCCAAAGACTCATGTGAATGGGTGGTTAGGCACCTGTTGATCCTGTTAGCTACACTCCCATCCCAGCTAGGCAATCACCCCTTTTATTTAAGTTGAGCTATGCCTGAGCAACAGCTAATGTGCCTAGTGGTACACCTTTGATTTTTATGAAGATTCCAAGTGTCTCCCATGGATCCCAGTTGAAATGATTCATAGTTTCCCCCCATGATTTCTAATGGAGAAGATTTCTAGTGAAGCCCCAGTGGCCGGTTTCCTGAAAAAAAAAAAGATTCCTTGTGACCCAAAGACTCCTTGTGTCCCACGTTTCCTGAGAAGATTCTTCATGACACCAAGACTCCTTGTGTCCAAGGCGTCCTTGGAAGAATCCTTTGGACACCAAGACTTCTTGTGTCCCTGTCTTCCTGAGAAGATTCCAAGTGACCCCAAGTCTCTTTCTGTCCCTGGCTTCCTGAGAGGATTCCTTGTGACCTCAAGACTCCTTGGGGTTTATTTACTAAAGCTGGTTCACTCAGAATCTCGTGCACTTCTGCATAGAAGCATTCAGCTTCCAGGTTTTCTTGCTAAACCTTAATTGAACAAGATGAGGTTAGAAGCTGATTGGCTAAAACGCACAGCTGCACCAGAATCTGCGTGAACCAGCTTTAGTAAATAAACCCCCCTGTGTCCCTGGCTTCCTGAGAAGATTCCTTGTAACCCCCAAGCCTCCTTTTGTCCCTGACTTTCTCAAAAGATTTCTTGTGACCCTGGGACTCCTTGTGTCCCTGGCTTCCTGAGAAGATTCCAAGTGACTTCGAGACTTTTTGTGTCCCTACTTTCCTGAGAAGTTTCTTTGCAACCCCAAGACTTCTTGTGTCCCTGACTTCCTGAGAAGATTCCAAGTGACTAGAAGACTCCTAGTGCCCCTGGCTTCCTCAGAAGATCCCTTGGGACCTCAAGACTCCTTCTGTCCCTGGCTTCCTCAGAAGATTCCTTGTGACCTTGAGACTCCTTGTACCCCTGGCTTCCTGAGAAGATTATTTGTGGCTCTAAGACTCCTTGTGTTTCTGGTTTCCAGAAAATATGTGTCCCTGGCATCTGGAGAATGTTCTTAGTGACTCCAAGACTCGTTGTATCCCTGGTTTTCTGAGAATATTCCTCATGACCCAAAGACTCCTAGATTCCCTAGCTTCCTCAGAAGATTTCTTGTGACCTCAAAGCTCTTTGCATCCCTGGCTTCCGGAAAAGGTTTCTTGTGACTGCAAAACTCCTAGTGTCCCTGGCTTCCTGAGAAGATTCCAAGTGACCCTTATAAACCTATTGTTCTACGTTCTGACAGGCTCCTAGTGTTTTACGTTCTGAAAGACTCCAATATTCCTAGTGATCCTGTACCTGGATTCCGCTTGTTCTTATTTTTGTTTTGCAAGTGTCTCCCAATGCCTTCTATTGTGATCTCTGAGTCCTCAGTGTTCCTAGTGTCTTTCAGTCTGTCCCTAGTGGCTCTCAGTGTGTTCCTGCTTGCAACCCGTATCCTTGTACTTGTCGTGTTCTTTTCCTCAGATTTCCCTGTATACCTTTGCCCGCTTTCCCACCCCTCTGTGATCTCCTGTGAGTTACATCTTCTCTTTTGTTGGCCTCACCTGTGTTTGCAGTCTGTTTTAGTATCTATAATCTGCTTCCTGCTCGGTGTGCCTGAGCACCTCTACCTGCTCCTAAAGATTCCTGTTTGTCACTTTGCATTGCTACTCACTCCTAGCTTGTGTCTCTGTACACTTGTCCCAGTGTCTATGTGTTTCCATGCCCACCTACTAGCTTGGGTTGTACTCCCAGCAATCCTGTGAACCCTGAGCCTCACCTCTGCAGAGGGTTCTTATCTGCTTATCAGCCCTTAGTTTTGAGTAGCTGCCTGTTCAGGTGAGTCCAAGAAATGCAACCTGAAGATTGCCTACAGTGCAACCCATCTCCACCTTCACCAGCTCTGGAGAAGACCAGGCGGTTTCTTAGACTCTACACCTCAGCCATTCCAAGGACCCTCACCTTTGTTGTACTTGTGGGTAGGCTGGGTTCTCCCTCGCTGTCCTAGACTTCTTGTGTACCACATCTGTATCCTGGGTATCATATCTGTTGCTTCCCATTTCTGACAGAACATGAAGAAGACTTCATAGTGGAGGGACCACTCTTCTGAGTGTAGGCATTGGTGATTCAGGAATTCCATTTACCCTATTTCCACTCCCGGTATGTAGATAGCAGTTTGTATTCATGCAGATCCTCTTGTTTAGAGGGACACGGGACATAGAAAAGATGGAGGGGGGTTTCTCTATGTTAGATGTGATGTGAAAGTGAGGAAGAAAGATGATCTTGTGGTTGGAGGTGGTGATGGTGCGGAGGAGGAATTACGGGAGGAATGATAGATGGGTCTATGGACTGAAGGACTTATCATTGGAGTATACTACAGACGTCCTGAGGTCTATGAGAAGGGGAAGAATCGGCTGTTCCAACAAGGACAAGCTAGGAAAACTAAACTACTGAGACACAAGATGGAGACTAAACCCTACAGGATGGGCCGTACTTGTAGTGTTAGAATATGGAGAAGGAGAAAAGATTAGTAGGGAAAAGAAGAGAATAATGATCTTGTGGTTGGAGGTGGTGATGATGCAGAGGAGGAATTATGGGTGGAATGATAGATGGGTCTATGGACTGCTGCACTTATCATTGGAGTATACTACAGACGTCCTGAGATCTTTTATGATGCAACTCATATGTGAAGATACACACACAACGTCCGGTCAGACACACACCCACACTGTTAGGTCAGAGGCAAATCCCTAAAATCAGGACAGAGACACACAAAGTTGAGGCAGAGTCAACTAGTAACCGAGCGAGCGACCTGCCGAGCAGAATGGGAGATGTTGATGGTTTCAGAGATGAGAATGGAGTTGGTGTTCCAGAAACACAGCTTGGCTCCTCCCAAGACTAGGCTGTTTGTATTCATGCTGATCCTCTTGTTTAGAGGGACACGGGACATAGAAAAGATGGAGGGGGGTTTCTCTATGTTAGATGTGATGTGAAAGTGAGGAAGAAAGATGATCTTGTGGTTGGAGGTGGTGATGGTGCGGAGGAGGAATTACGGGTGGAATGATAGATGGGTCTATGGACTGATGGACTTATCATTGGAGTATACTAGACGTCCTGAGTAGGGGTACCGAACCAGCAATGAAAAAGTCTGTAAAAATTTGAAATAATGAGTTTAAAATAACAGAACTCAGCTCTTTGAGGACACATATATGTGAAGATACACACACAACGTCCAGTCAGACACACACCCACACTGTTAGGTCAGAGGCAAATCCTTAAAATCAGGACAGAGACACACAAAGTCGAAGCAGAGTCAACTAGTAACCGAGCGAGTGACCTGCCGAGCAGAATGGGAGATGTTGACGGTTTCAGTGAAGAGAATGGAGTTGGTGTTCCAGAAACATGGCTTGGCTCCTCCCAAGACTGGGCTGTTGGTATTCATGCTGATCCTCGTGTTTAGAGGGACACGGGACATAAAAAAGATGGGGGGGTTCTCTATGTTAGATGTGATGTGAAAGTGAGGAAGATGATCTTGTGGTTGGAGGTGGTGATGGTGCGGAGGAGGAACTACAGGAGGAATGATAGATGGGTCTATGGACTGATGGACTTATCATTGGAGTATACTACAGACGTCCTGAGGTCTATGAGAAGGGGGAGAGTCGGCTGTTCCAACAAGGTGATGGAAGAAACTAAAAACACGAATGTAGCCATAAGAATGATATGGAAACCTACAGTTTGCCTTACTTGTGATAGAAACTGAAAACAAGCATGGGAACCAAAAACATTTAATAACACAAATCCAAGGCACACGTTTATCAATCCTGATATAAAGCGTACATGATTGTTAAATATATATTTTCATATGGTTATATTAAAAAAAAATCGAAGATTTTTATTTTTATTATGTGAAGGTGAACGGTTACATCTGTGAATGTCATTTACCACCTTCAGCCAGCAGGTGTCACAACAATTGAACAGAACGGGTTAGTTTTGCTGTATAATCTGATCTCCCCTTCTCTTCATCCACAAGCAATATCTAGCTTCTCTCTCACCATGATGTCCTCCATGGAAGCTTCTGCTGAAGGTCAGGGGAGATCAGACTACACTGCTAGAGGGACACAACCAGCAGTGACCCTCCCCCTCCTTCTCTCTCACCATGATGTCCTCCATGGAAGCTTCTGCTGAAGGTCAGGGGAGATCAGACTACACTGCCAGAGGGACCCAACCAGCAGTGACCCCCCCCCTTCTCTCTCACCATGATGTTCTCCATGGAAGCTTCTGCTGAAGGTCAGGGAAGATCAGACTACACTGCCAGAGGGACCCAACCAGCAGTGACCCCCCCTCCTCTCTCACCATGATGTCCTCCATGAAAGCTTCTAATGAAGGTCAGGGGAGATCGATTGTACATTAACAGAAAACATTTCCCGCACTCACGGCAGGAATATGACTTCTCCCCAGTGTGGAACCTCAGATGTTCATAAAGATTGTCCATTATTGGAAAACATTTCCCGCACTCAGGACAAGAACACAGATTCTCCCCTGTATAGAATCTTTTATAGTTATAAAGATTGCACATCCGTGGAAAACATTTCCCGCACTAAAAAATGAATATGGCTTTTCCCCAGTGGTGTTTTTTTTGTTGATACCAGTCCCGGCCCTCAGGGAAGGAACGACTTTTCCTGTCCATGCAGATTATCAGATGCACGGAAAACAAAACACTTCCCTCACTCAGCTTCTGATGTCCTCTATGGAAGCTTCTGCTGAAGGTCAGGGGAGATCAGACTACACTGCTAGAGGGACCCAACCAGCAGTGACCCTCCCCCTCCTTCTCTCTCACCATGATGTCCTCCATGGAAGCTTCTGCTGAAGGTCAGGGGAGATCAGACTACACTGCTAGAGGGACCCAACCAGCAGTGACCCCCCCTCCCCTCACCATCCTCTCTCACCATGATGTCCTCCATGGAAGCCCCCCCCTTCTCTCCATGCTAAAGGTCAGGGAAGATCAGACTACACTGCTAGAGGGACCAAACCAGCAGTGCCCCCCCCCCCCTTCCTATCTCACCATGATGTTCTCCATGGAAGCTACTGCTGAAGGTCAGGGGAGATCAGACTACACCGCAAGAGGGACCCAACCAGCAGTGACCCCCCACCCCCTTCCTTCTCTATGTGTCTGAGGTGTGGCATTTCCTGCACTTGAGACACTAATATGCCTTGAAGGTTTGTGTGGAATTTGTGATAACAGGAAATGATGGGTCCGCTTTGAAAAACATTTCCCGCACACAGGGCAGGAATACGGCTTCTCTCCTGTGTGGAATCTCAGATGTTCAAAAAGATTGTACATTAACAGAAAACATTTCCCGCACTCAAGGCAGGAATATGACTTATCCCCGGTGTGGAACCTCAGATGTTCATAAAGATTGTCCATTATTGGAAAACATTTCCCGCACTCAGGACAAGAATACAGATTCTCCCCTGTATAGAATCTTTTTATAGTCATAAAGATTGCACATCCATGGAAAACATTTCCCGCAATAAAAAATGAATATGGCTTTTCCCCTGCGTTTTTTTTTTTTTTTTTTGTTGATACCAGTTCTGGCCCGCAGGGAAGGAACGACTTTTCCTGTCCATGCAGATTATCAGATGCACAGAAAACAAAACACTTTCCTCACTCAGCTTCTACCCTGTGTGAGCTCTTCATATGTTTGTTCAGCTGAGGTTTGTGTTTATAACATTTCCCGCACTCCGAGCAGGAATACGGCTTCTCCTCCGTGTGAGACCTCAGATGCACAGCAATGTGAGACTTGCGTAGAAAACGTTTCCCACACTTAGGGCAGGGATATGGCTTTTCCCCTGTGTGGGTCTTCTGATGCACATTCATTTGAGACTTACTTTTGAAACATTTTTCCCGCACTCAGAGCAGCAATGTGGCTTCATCCCTGTGTGAGATATTTGATGCCCAGCGAGATGAGACTTGCATTTAAAACGTAATCCACAATCTGAGCACAAATACGGCTTCTCGCCTGTGTGGGACCTCTGATGCACATCGAGATGATACCTCCGGCTAAAACTTTTCCCGCACTCAGAGCAGGAAAATGGTCTCTCCCCCGTATGAGTTCTCTGATGATCAGTGAGATAAGACTTGCGTGAAAATTCTTTTCCACATTCAGAGCAGGAATAGAGCCTTTCCCCCGTGTGAAACATCTGATGTTGAGTGAGGTCTGATTTTATCACAAAACCTTTCCCGCACTCAGAACAGGAGAACGGTTTCTCCCCTGTGTGAGACCTCTGATGCACAGTGAGAGAAGACTGACGTACAAAACGTTTCCCGCACTCAGAGCAGGAATAAAGATCCTCCCCTGTGTGCCACATCTGATGTTCATAGAGTTTGTACTTGTGTGTAAAACGTTTCCCGCACTCAGGACAGGGAAACGGCCTCTCCCCTGTGTGAGTTCTCTGATGTTTGACCAGTTCTGATTTATAAAGAAAACATTTCCCGCACTCAGGACAGGAATTAATCATCTTCCCCGTGTGCAATCTCTTATGTACTGTAAGATGAGATTGCCAGAGAAAACATTTCCCGCACTCAGAACAGGGAAATGTCTTCTCCCCCTGAATCCTAGCCCCATCCGCCTCAGTACAAGGTTGCTCAGAGTCAGAGGGATTCCATGGTCTCTCCACACTGGGAAGTCCACCATCCATAGAGGAGCTCATTGTCTTTTCTCCGGCACAATCTCCTGGGATGTCCTCATCTTCCATTTTACAACCTGGAGATAAAGTGAGACGATCCTTTGAGGGTTTCTCCACGGCGGGTCCTGGAAAAATAGAAAAACATCATCAATAGATAGGAGAGGGTTAGTTCACTTCCATCAAGATTCCATCTGGATCAGGGAGATAGGAGGGAGCAGATGTTCTCTGTGGATGTCCCAACCAGCTGGGACTCTTCCCCTCTTCAAAGGGCCTTTGGTCCTCCCAGGTCACTTCTACATTTAAACCGCCTTGTCAGAGGAGCAGGAACCAATGGGGGCTGGGGGGGGGGGGGGGGGGGGGGGGGGGGGGCGGTAACAGAGCAGAGATAAGAGAAGAATATATTCTGGTCACCTGTGCTGATCTCTGTAGGAGTGTCCTCCTCTATGAATGTCCTCCTCATTCCAGCCTCCTCCGTATATTGCTGATCATCCCTCACATACGTCTCTTCTACTTCACCCTCAACTTTCATGTTCATCAGATCTTCACCCTAAACCAACAGAATGGCAGAAAATAACATCTGTAACATAGAAGGATTTATGATGTGAGATCACATAGAACATCTGATCTTGTAGAGTCCACACATCGTCTCCACATGTCAGAGGGTTCCATCACTTTATGTTCCCGACCCTCAACTTCACCTACCTGATGATGGTGAGGGATGGTGTGACCTTCCTGTGTGGAATCCCAGGAATACAGAGGACGGGGACATTTCTCTGGTGGGTTCCCATGACTGGATCCATCTACCTGATGATGGTGAGGGATGGTGAGACCTTCCTGTGTGGAATCCCGGGAATACAGAGGACGGGGACATCTCTCTGGTGGGTTCCCATGACTGGATGCATCTGTAGGAAACACACACACTGACAGAATCCATTGTTTCTATGTGTTTATCAGATGATGGGGGATCTAGGTGGATCCTCCGTACTGCTCTCTCCTTTCCAATAAAGTCTCCTCTTACCCGGTGATGTGAGGGGCGGCTGATTGTCCATCATGACGTCCTTGTAGAGGTCCTTGTGTCCTTCTAAATACTCCCACTCCTCCATGGAGAAATAGACAGTGACATCCTGACACCTTATAGGAACCTGACACACACAATGATACAGTCACCATCCAGACACATCCCTTGTCTGTTACTGGAGAATGTCCCAGAATTCCCGGCACCGCTCACCTCTCCTGTCAGCAGCTCCATCATCTTCTTGGTGACTTCTAGAACCTTTTGTCTTGTAGGGATCAGGGATGGAGGTGGGGGGATGGTGATGGGATTCTGGATTCTCGAGGCTCTTGTGGTCATACGATGAGATCTCCTTCTGGTCTCATTGTCAGTAGATTTCTTCATGACTCCTGTACAGTTCTGTGTGATAGAAAGATAAATCTCACTCTCCCATCATCCCTCACCTCTATGGTCAGCTCTAGATGTGTCCTCCAGGGATTGGCCGCAATGTTCCCGATTCAGCAAAGGACAGACATCTCCATCCAATGACGGGACTACAATGGGGTCGGATTTATAGCTCCTTCTAGAAGTCCTATAATAGAGTCACTAATGTTCTCCTAGTAAGGCTCACTGACCCACCAGAAGTTCCCCATGGATCAGATTTAACCCCTTCATTACACTCACCTCTCCAGTCAGCAGGTGGAGGATCTCCAGGGCGATGTTCAATATCATCTCATTCCGGGGAATGTCCTTCCTTGTGATCTTCACAAAACTCGAGGTCTGCTGATTGTCCATCATGACGTCCTTGTAGAGGTCCTTGTGTCCTTCTAAATACTCCCACTCCTCCATGGAGAAATAGACAGTGACACCCTGACACCTTATAGGAACCTGACACACACAATGATACAGTCACCATCCAGACACATCCCTTGTCTGTTACTGGAGAATGTCCCAGAATTCCCGGCACCGCTCACCTCTCCTGTCAGCAGCTCCATCATCTTCTGGGTGACTTCTAGAATCTTCTGCATGTTGTGTCTCTCAGGGTTTAGGGAGTCACATGGAGGCACTGTGATGGTCATATGATCACCTGACTTCAGAGGAGGAAATCTCTGTATTGGGGAACCAATAGGAACATCATGTTAGACTCCCAGAATCCTCCTCACCACTCCGGTCAGGTCTGTGTTTTATTAATAGAGATGAGAGTGATGTCATGTGACCTCCCAGAATCCTCCTCACCTCTCCGGTCAGGTCTGTGTGATGTCATGTGACCGCCCAGAATCCTCCTCACCTCTCCGGTCAGGTCTGTGTTTTATTAATAGAGATGAAAGAGATGTCATGTGACCTCCCAGAATCCTCCTCACCTCTCCAGTCAGGTCTGTGTTTTATTAATGGAGATGAGAGTGATGTCATGTGACCTCCCAGAATCCTTCTCACCTCTCCGGTCAGGTCTGTGTTTTATTAATAGAGATGAGAGTGATGTCATGTGACCTCCCAGAATCCTCCTCACCTCTCCGGTCAGCAGGTAGATGATCTCCAGGGTGAGGTTTAGTATCCTCTCAGTCATGTGACTCCGGTCCTCCTCCATCCTCATTGGTCATGTGATCTATATAGGTTTCCTGTAGACCAATAATTGATAACAGAGAATGATCTGGACTGTACTGGTTGTACAATATTAGGATGGGAGTGTATGGGGGGGTCATTGTGAGGGTTGACGTTACTCTAAGCAATGCCCGGCTCTGTACTGTTGTCTGGAGTAGGAGATGCACTCAGTCCGCACCGGTCATTGTGTTCTCCTTTTCCTAGCCCCGGGGAGCCGGTATCCCTGTGGTATGTGTAAGACCCAGGGCCGGGACAAGGGGTGGGCAGGAGGGGCGGCTGCCCTGGGTGCAATGGTTTATTGTGAGGATGGGGGCACCCTGTGCGGAGTTCCTGACAGCGGCATCATCATCACTCCTGTCAGACCAGCACTGGAAGCAGCAAGGAGAGTGCTTGGAGGAGATGCTGGTTGGGCTGGTCAATGTCCCCCCTTATCCTGCTGCTCAGTGCCCCCCCTTATCCTGCTGGTCAATGTTCTCCCTTACCTTGATGGTCAAAGCCCCCTTTATCCTGCAGCTGAGTACCCCCCTTTAACTTGATGAAGAATGCCCCCCCTTACACTGCTGGTGAGTATCTCTCCTTGTTGGTCAGTGCCCTCCTTGATGATGATTGCCACCCTCACCACATTGGTCAGCATCCCCCTTACCTTGCCAGTCAGTGCCCCCTGCATCCCCCTTACCCTGCTAGACAGTGTCCCCCCTTTTCCTGCTGGTCAGTCCCCCCCCCCATCCTGCTGGTCAGTGCCCCCCCCCCCCTTATCCTGCTGGTCAGTGTCCCCCCTTATCCTGCTGGTCAGTGTTCCCCCCCTTATCCTGTGGATCAGTGTCCCCATTACTCTGCTGGACAGTGTCCCCCCTGATCCTGCTGGACAGTGCACCCCCCTTATCTTGCTGGACAGTGTCCCTCCTTACCTTGATGGTCAAAGCCCCCTCCTTATCCTACTGGTCAGTGCCCCCCTTTAGCTTGATGGCAAATGCCCCCCATTACTCTGCTGGTCAGTGTTCCAATTACCTTGCCAGTCAGTGTCCTCCATTACCTTGTTGGTCAGTGTCCCCCTTGATGACGAATGCCTTTCTTACCACAGTGGTCAGTAACCCCCCTTACCTTGCCAGTCATTGCCTGGTATGTGGTATGTTGTAGAGGGGCAGTCAGTGAGCGGTATGTAGTGGAGGGGCAGTCAGGGAGGGGTATGCAGTGGAGGGGCAGTCAGTGAGCGGCGTGCAGTGGAGGGGCAGTCAGGGAGCGGCGTGCAGTGGAGGGGCAGTCAGGGAGCGGCGTGTAGTGGAGGGGCAGTCAGGGAGCGGCGTGTAGTGGAGGGGCAGTCAGGGAGCGGCGTGTAGTGGAGGGGCAGTCAGGGAGCGGCGTGTAGTGGAGGGGCAGTCAGGGAGCGGCGTGTAGTGGAGGGGCAGTCAGGGAGCGGCGTGTAGTGGTGGGGCAGTCAGGGTGCGGCGTGTAGTGGTGGGGGGGCAGTCAGGGAGCGGCGTGTAGTGGAGGGGCAGTCAGGGAGGGGTATGCAGTGGAGGGGCAGTCAGTGAGCGGCGTGCAGTGGAGGGGCAGTCAGGGAGCGGCGTGCAGTGGAGGGGCAGTCAGGGAGCGGCGTGCAGTGGAGGGGCAGTCAGGGAGCGGCGTGCAGTGGAGGGGCAGTCAGGGAGCGGCGTGTAGTGGAGGGGCAGTCAGGGAGCGGCGTGTAGTGGAGGGGCAGTCAGGGAGCGGCGTGTAGTGGAGGGGCAGTCAGGGAGCGGCGTGTAGTGGAGGGGCAGTCAGGGAGCGGCGTGTAGTGGTGGGGCAGTCAGGGTGCGGCGTGTAGTGGTGGGGCAGTCAGGGAGCGGCGTGTAGTGGAGGGGCAGTCAGGGAGCGGCGTGTAGTGGAGGGGCAGTCAGGGAGCGGCGTGTAGTGGAGGGGCAGTCAGTGAGAGGCGTGTAGTGGAGGGGCAGTCAGTGAGCGGCGTGTGTAGTGGTGGGGCAGTCAGGGAGCGGCGTGTAGTGGAGGGGCAGTCAGTGAGCGGCGTGTAGTGGTGGGGCAGTCAGGGAGCGGCGTGTAGTGGAGGGGCAGTCAGGGAGCAGTGTGTAGTGGTGGGGCAGTCACTCAGCGGTATGCAGTGGAGGGGCCGTCAGGGAGCGGTATGTAGTGGAGGCGCAGTCAGAGCGGTATGTAGTGGTGGGGCAGTTACTCAGCGGTATGTAGTGGTGGGGCAGTCACTCAGCGGTATGCAGTGGAGGGGCAGTCAGGGAGCAGTATGTAGTGG